AAAGAAAAAGTCCTTGAAATCAACATTTCAAAAATAAACATTTATGTTGAGTTTTGATTATGTTTCTAGACAGTCTATTGGGAGATCTTCCACAGAAACATTCTCCTCAATTTAGAGAATAATTATCGTTTCTACTTTTTCCTCTTGATAGGAATACAGAGTTCTAGTGCTCTATGGATAGGAGGTCATGATCATGGTGATTTAGAATATGTCAAGATTTGGAGTCATGTAGCAAGTCTGGTGATGAGCCGGGCTTGGATCAATCCCTCTAGGACAGAATTTCTCGCGCCCCATTACATAAATGAGAAAAACTATAAGTGTTATTGAAAAATGTGCTGCGCAACTGAACAATTTTTCTCAAATACGAATTAACGATGATAAATTTTATGACATAAAAATGTTGCTTAAGCTACCTTGTTCTTAAGACGATCTAAAACCAGCAAACGATATACAGAAGTTTAACAATAAAATAAATATGTAAAAGTAAGGTCATATAATGGATAAAATAATGAATTGATTAGTTAATAAGCCAAAGATCTCTAATGCCACTATTGACATAGCTGAGGTGAAGCTCACACTAACTAAATTACTACTTATGTTTATGTTTACAATTAGGTACCCTGTCAACGCCGTATACGAACTTTCTTTGTTGTTGTCACTTACTGCTACTTCTCCTACATATTTTTTCCTTTAAGCTCGTTGCAAACAGGGGAAAATATATGATGCGTTTTTGCTATTGGAAATATCACTATCGGGGAAAACCAAAACGCTGATAACAAACAATATTTTAATGTTATAGACCAAGCCGTTTCCTTACTGGGGAAAACAATCTTCATAGGTATGGCTGTTGAATTTAAATTATCGTACTTTAATTTAATTTTTATATTTTGTAGGAAAACTAAGCTACTATTTTTAAGCATTGCCTGGATAGGTTTTTTACTGACAATTTGTTTCGTACCACAATTGTATTTAATAGATATTCTATATTGTGCTAAGGTATGTAAGCTCTGCAAGAGAGGTGGATTGGATTGGTGTTTGTATGGCAATACAATGACAGCTGGATATCCATATTTCATCTACGGCCAACTTGGATTTGTATCCAAGCCCCTTACGACTTGATTAAGCTAGTTAGTTTATAATAGGCTTAGACTGTTTGGAAACTTATAGCATTTATTTTTTTGGTTGATGGATAAAAATGTGTATTTTCGTTGTTTAAGATGTGCTATATTTTGCACTCAAAAGATGTAACTTCTTGATCAGCATTGTACAGGTTATAACATTTTTCGAAGTTAAAAAGAAATACGTCAAAACACTTGAAACAAAAGTTTAAAATTTTATGTTTCAAATTTTATTAGACGTACTTTTATTTCCTTTCTGCCAAAATATGTTTAGAATATTTTTTCACATTTTTTCATTGATGTTGCTAATGTTAATTTTATTTAAGAAAATATAGTTTTACATTGTTGTTTTGAACGTGAAAATGTTGTTCATTGTTATTTATCACGATGATATTGCTAGCAAACTCAATTATTCCTCTTATAAAATTCTAGGATAAGAAAATAGTCCCGGATATGAATACCGCAGTTACAAGTTTAATCAATTCCAATTAAAGTTAATGGTAGTCAGGTACATTGTAATCGAGTCAAAATGTGTTTAACACGCACGTCTGGCACGCTCCTGACACGTGTACAGTCTATAATAAATATGGATAATAGACAGAAAAAGACTAAAATAACTACTATATTCAATAATAGACCTAATCAGAAGTGCGCTAGTGTTGTTGGAAGTCCTAAATATTAAAAAATGTTAACGATTTCAGTGTTGCTAAATGGAAGCTAATGTAAATTCGTTTCGTCTTAAATATTAAACGACTGAGTATGGGTAGGTAGCTGAGTGGTTATAGTGTTCAGCTAACAATCAAAAGGTTGCCGGTTCGATCATGCGGAGTCAGTAGTTTTTTGATGGTTCGAAACTGGGCCCAGTTGTTTCTGATCATTGGGCTTCAAATTAATGATCCTGACTGATTAAACAGCTGATAACAGTCAGTAACAAAGCTACAAAGATCATATCACACCATTCCACTCTCATCTAAAACTAACTCATATTTGGGTTAAAATACTCACATTAGGGGCCAGTGATAAAAGATTGATAATTGAAACATATCGGACCAGAGAGGCAATCGGCAATCACAATATGTACTTGATGTATTACGCATCTCAATACGATTATTGTTGCAACTATTGATTACTACAACTATTGATTATTGATTACAACCAAATATTTTTGATATGCACGATGATGCGTAATTGATTTGTGTAAGTAAAAATATTATTTATACTCTTAAAAACAAAAATGATAAAAAACTTTCATCTGGAAAAATTTTAATAAGCCATGATACAAGAAATCGTTTTTAAACCGAATAATCTTATAATCTCTTATTAATGGTAATGCACATAAAACATTTACGTTCAACTTTTTTTTGTTTACGGGTAAATGCTAAATAGTTTAAACTTTGAACGATTGATCGATAGCATGTGCCAATCGATGGAAATTAACATGTTGAAAAGGGTCACGTATCGATGTAATACATTCCACGTTTGTTTGAGAATAATGTATCTGAGACGTTCAAAATAACAATACAATCAACGCTGGTAATCACGTTAAATTGTGTAGTGTCCTATAATTTTAAACTGTTACTCTAATGTTAACTTAACCCGGTGGGTTCATTATTTTGAATAACGCTTGTTTAACTACATTCCACTAAAGTCGTAACTCACCAACAAAGTACAGTAACCTATTTACCTATTTGTACTAAAAATATCAGATAAAAATGGCATAATACAACTGTATCTTTTGGAGAATAAAGTAAACTATTGTAGTTTGATTGTTTTGGTCAAATGTGGAAAATGCATTTATTTCATACTAAACTATTGACATTGAAAAAAGGACACTTTTACCCTGTTGCAGCAAACCTAAGTACTTGTTAGGTTAATGCAATTTAAATAGGGAATAAATGTGTTATTTTAAATGGGATATTATATTGTAAATCCAATAAGGCAATTGGAAATTCGCTTGTTCTTCAGGTTTGCTGCGGTGGTGGTATTTACCACTTCATTATTTTGAGTCACGCTTGTTTCCATATTCCACTAAAGTCGTAACTTACCAACAAAGTACAGTAACCTATTTACCTGCATTTTGTACTATAAATATCAGATAAAAATGGCATAATACAACTGTATCTTTTGGAGAAAAAAGTAAACTGTTGTAGTTTGCTTGTTTATTAACATGTTTTGATCAAATTTTAAAAATGCATTTATTTCATACCAAACATAAAAAAAAAAAAACACTTTACCCTTCCTATTGCAGCAAACCTAAGTACTTGTGAAGCTAATGCTATTTCAATAGGGAATAAATGTGATATTTTAAAGGGAATATTATAGTGTAAATCCAATCAGACAAATGGAAATTCACTTAGTCTGCAGGTTTGCTGCGGCGGGGGTATTCACATTTTTGACGTAACTCAATAGCTCCACTGTTTATTGTAAACTTTAATTTGGATTTGATTAAATTTGCAAGTAAATTTTCCCACTTTTGTTGTTTCCAAATTTAAAATTACAACCATTACAAGATTCAAGATTCGAAGTAAGAACCCCGTAAATATTAAAGTATCATAAGTAAATAAATGAACAGTATTAAACATTAATATCAGGAGGTACAAAACATTTTGATACACAAACAAAAACACGGCTGTGTTGGAAAAGGGTTGTTTTAGGACGATTTTAATACAATATTTTATATTTGTGTTACAAAAAATAACTACAAAACATATTGGTAGAGATATTTGAAAATCCATAATACAGTTTGACGAAAGTTTGAGGTTATATGGTTGACGGTTAAGCCTCAGATTCGTTTCTCGTTCCAAGATTGTCCTGGAAACAGTTCTTCTCTAAGGGGATTAGCCTTTATAGACAGCTTCCCCAGCTAAATAGAAAACACAGCCCTACTACGGTGTGTCTGTACAATTTTCTTTTCAAATTTCAAATACACAATATTTTTTCACAATTTTTATTTGTTTACAATTCGCATTCGTGTAAGCATATATTGTGTACTATTTTTCTAGAGACCGTTGTATTTAGCCACAACGGGCTATGTTGCTAGTGTTCATATAAATTTAAGTGAAAGGTTCTCGTAAAGAAGTGCTGTTTATATTTACTTAAACATCCGCAGTTTCAGCGAGAAAGGGATATTACCTATTCCAGGTGCAGCAATATCCTGTTCTAATCCTGCGCCTCCGCCGCGTTACTCTGCTAATATATTCTGACTGATTACTTTTCAATTTCGCATCCGGTAGCCATCTCGTAATAAGCATTGTAAGAATAAAATTGGATTTAGCTTTTCATCATTTGTTAAATTCAACATGCAAGTTGATTGTTACTTGGGGCGTTGCCACAATTGCCTAGTTTTTTGTTAGTAGTTCAAAACAAGTCCTTGAATGACATAGTTATAGTTTTGAGTTTCGATGGTTAATAAATCATGTGGGTCAATTATGAGTAGAGAATATCAAGAATACAATTTTGTCAAAAATCGCTTTCTTAATTAATTAACCAGATATCCACCATTTTGTATTTTTTGCATACACATTTTTATCTTTAAACATTTTCATCCGATCGTTATTGACCTTGGTATGTATGTTAAGGTAGAAAAGACCCATGTTAGGAAAAAAATTCATCTTGATTCAACTTAAAATTTCAAAATGGCGGTCGGTCATTTCGTAAAAAAAAACACACTGCAATGTGTTTCTGTGTCAATGGAATGATCAAGATCAAATATTATTGAATAGTTATAGTTTCTTAAATGTGGCATTGGTATCAAAACACACTTTCCAAAATGGATCAAGTCTGGCAACACACAAGGCCAATGTTATGACCATTTTTTTCTAATGTTTTTACAGACTGAGATGACTTTACTTTCTGTTGACTACAGCAATGGCTGTTTTGCAGGTCACAGGGCTCACACGATGTACGTGGGGGTGCATCTACCCGGGGAGAAGCGACACCGCAAACACAAACACTCCAGAGCGAACAGCCGGGACTCCGACGAAGAGGACAGACCTAGTGAGTACAACCACCGTTCAACGTTCAACTCAGTATAAAATAGTAAACAATTTAATATATTTCATTATTTTAAAATGCTATATAGTTATAGAGATTATTGATTTTTGGATACTGTAGTATACATTTCATTTACATGGAGCAGCTTTTGCTACGGTAATCTGTTTTTAAATAACTTCTTGATCAGCGTACGTGTTATTAAATCGCCTGAAAGTACAAAAAATTCTCAAATAACACTTGTAATAATATATTTACACTTACAGTATAATGCTTACTCACAAGACGGTAAATATATAAAAACGATGGTAAGTGGTAATCGATTTCGATTTGACAATCCAATCATCATCAGACCCAATAAGCAAAATGTAATCTTAATCGGACATAATTTTTTTTTATCTAAAAAGAACATAGTAGGACCAACCTATCAAGAGTGTACTACAGTTTAAAATAATATTTTCTTCCTTACTTTTTCAATATATTTGAAATACTGTATTTGTTTCACAATTCTTATTTAATTAATAAACTAATTAAAATGTTGTAAATACTATTTTCCAAAATATTTGTGTATTCACCAGATTGTGTAATTTACAAGAGAACACTTTTTTGGTGGTACATTCATGTATATTCTAAAACTGGTTGCAGCTTTTATGAATATAATTGGATATTATAAAAGGTTTAAATACCTGCTATTAAGCAATCCAATTTTGTTGTTGACACAACTAGTTTCGGTGTCTGTGTGACACCATCATCAGGCTGCACAAGGACAGTTTTCTTTCTTCATACGAAGAGCGTCATATTTACACGAAAATAATAAATAAACATTTAAACACGACACAAACACGAATACGAGACATTTACGGTAACTGATCAGTTAAGAAAACAGACGACGCTAACCCGACGGAGTTTGAGTCCAGACTGCGGGTGGTCAGTGCAGTGGTGTACGTCCGTTATCTTATCATCCCAGGTTGCGTCCTGTCAATCACTCAATCACACCTCCCCTCTCCAGTAAACCGATGGCGGTGTCATACATAAAATTAGACGAGAAAAACTGTTGGTCATTTAGTACATTATGGTGGTCGGATTTTACTGCCTTATATATCTCGAACTCTTCCAATGTGTTAATTTTATATCTGTCTTTAGAAAAATGTAGAATATCCATATTGCTGCTAATGTTGGTATAATTGTGGCCTTGGGATATTAAATGCTCAGCAAAAGATGATGTTTGGTGGGCTGTTGATGCTTTTGGAATATGCTCTTTGAATATTTTTGTAAAGGAACGTGCTGTTTGGCCGATGTAATATTTCGTACAATCGGTACAATTGATCTTGTAAACGCCGGATTTATCAAAAGATTGCGTCATCGTGGGGCTGCGTTCCTTTAACAATGAACCAAGCTTGTTTTCTGTTCTAAAGGAAACAGTGATTTTGTTTTTTGCCATGAGATTTTTGTATTTATTGCTCATAAAGGTGCCAAATTTTGCAGAGATGAAATTGTTCTGTTTATTATTAGTTCCTGTTTTATTTTTATGTTTGTAGATGAGTTTATCCACAATACTACTTGGATAACCATTTGATACGGCTATATGTTTTATTGTAATTACTTCTTCGTTGTAGTCCTGTTCATTCATTGGAATTGTGAGCAATCGGATTATGAAACTATTATATGCAGCTAATTTGTGTGAATACGGGTGATGGGATTCTGAGTGAATGGTCTGGTCAGTGCATGTTGGTTTCCTGAATATTTTAAACTCAAATTTATTTTGATGCTTTTTTATGGTGAGGTCCAGAAAATTCAAACAATTATTGTTTTCTTCCTCCAATGTAAACTTCATGTTGCTGTGAATGCCACATAAGTATGCGTTGAGTAACGACAACTGTCTACTGTTTCCGTTGAACAAAACAATAGTGTCGTCTACATATCTGAAATAAAACAGGATCTTTTCTTTGTAGCGGTTGGAATCAGAAAATAAATGTTTATTTTCCAGGTTGTTGAGAAAAATCTCTGCTAAAATACTGGAGAGGGGGGAACCCATTGCCAGCCCTTCTTTCTGGGAATAATAGTCATTGTTGAATCTGAAGTAATTCTGATTTAGTACTAATCTTGTGAGTGAAACTAACTCATTTACCGACTCTCTGGATAAACTTGAGTTTTTAATGAGGTTTTGGTGTAAGAGAGCTATTGTTTCTTGAACGGGGACGTTGGTGTACAAATTTACGATGTCAAATGATGCCAATTTGTGGTTAACAGCATGGTTCTTAATTCTATCAACAAGTTCTAGGCTATTTTTTATACTATGACTATTTTCCAATAAAGTTTGGTCCTTTATTATTTTATCTAGCTTCTTGGCTATTTTGTAGGCTGGACTTGGCATAAAATTTACTAAGGGTCTGATGGGGACGTCAGGCTTAAAAGATATAAAATTAACACATTGGAAGAGTTCGAGATATATAAGGCAGTAAAATCCGACCACCATAATGTACTAAATGACCAACAGTTTTTCTCGTCTAATTTTATGTATGACACCGCCATCGGTTTACTGGAGAGGGGAGGTGTGATTGAGTGATTGACAGGACGCAACCTGGGATGATAAGATAACGGACGTACACCACTGCACTGACCACCCGCAGTCTGGACTCAAACTCCGTCGGGTTAGCGTCGTCTGTTTTCTTAACTGATCAGTTACCGTAAATGTCTCGTATTCGTGTTTGTGTCGTGTTTAAATGTTTATTTATTATTTTCGTGTAAATATGACGCTCTTCGTATGAAGAAAGAAAACTGTCCTTGTGCAGCCTGATGATGGTGTCACACAGACACCGAAACTAGTTGTGTCAACAACAAAATTGGATTGCTTAATAGCAGGTATTTAAACCTTTTATAATATTATTTGGCAATCCGGAGGCTAACAACTACAATGAAAATATAATTGGAATATCTTGTTCTGACCATAGTCAAAGTCGAGTTATTCCAAGTGTTAACACCGAGTGTTGAAGTCCCATGTTATTCTCATGGAGAGTAAACAAATGTTCAATATTATTAATGTACTCAAATGCAGGAAGTAAAAGAAAAATATTCATATAATAAGTATAGTTGCTACTGTCGGGGTAAAAAGTTTAGACACTCGAGTTTGGAGCTCTACAGAAAAGTAACCAACTAACTTAGAAAAACACTTAGTATATAGTAGGCCATAATTCGTTATTACATGACACATATCGAACATTTAATTTTATCCCAGCAGCCAAACTACTTTGTAACATTTTGAAAAATTTTACATTTAACATTTCAACCTAACATCCAATAAATTCACCACATCAGTAAACATGTGGAAGTGACATTTAGACTGAGGAAAGAAGATAAAAATAAAATAGCATCGCCATTTTTGTCATCATGCCAGTTAATATTTCAGGAACTAGATGATCATTTAACTTTGAATGCTGTTGGCACCTTTACAATTTTGTATTATAGTTAGGGAAAATATTCTAGTTGTTCAAAACATTGTAATTAAGCTGTGATTTCTTTTAAATCGGATCATTTTTGCTCGATTTATTACGCTATCGAACTCATATATATGAATTTGAACGGCTGGTGTTTTTGGCCTCTTAGGACCTAAAAACAAATATGTTATCAGTCCCGGGTCCAGGTCTTACCATGACCTGCGGAAATAGCTTATTTTCTATATAGGAAACTATCTGAAAAAAATTACACAGAATTGCAAACAAAACAAACATAGATACCTCTTTTTGATACAAAACCCATTACTCTAGTTACTATCATTAATCCTGTTCACTTTCCAAAAATGAATTATAAAATATATTTTTGTAGTGACTAAACAAACGAAAACATCAACATAATAAAAAAAGTTGCATTGTTGAAACACAAATAACTTTCACTTTAGCCAAATTGCCAAATACCTGGCTTTAAGCCAGACAGCGAGTAATCAATGCTATAAACATTGTCTCTACATTTAATATCACAGGTGGGGAAGCTTTGTTTGGAAGACAATAGTTTTATTTTTATTTTGTAAACGTACCAACATACTTTCCATATCATTCAAGGAATACTCAAGCTTATCCCTAACATTAATGTAAACAATGTTTTGATTTAATACATTACTTCTCTATCTTCTCTCGTATTGAGGAAAGGAAAGTATTTAGTTCTGTGTTCATACCCTGAGTACAGGTAAAATGTTTTGTTTATAGAAATTTATTTGTTTATTTTCCAGACAATTGACAAGGGAAACTAGTAAAGTTGCCAACAGTCATTTAGTTGGCCAGCTCTTACATTTGCCAACTGTAATTTACGCTGAAACACTTTCCGCTGCTCATTCATGGAAACAAAGTAACTGTTTGAGATTAAAGTTGAGATGAGGAAGATTGCATTTTTACATAATGAGTTGGAAGTTGGATTATTACTCAAACAATAGCTTTTTCCTTGAGATTATAGAGGAATGGCACTTGACTAAATGTTCTTTCTCTGAAGCTCTAGTTTTGGAATACAACCCTAGGATATTAAAAATACTATGCATAAGCCAGAATTAGTCGAGGACGGACTAAAAGAAATGTTTAAATTTGATCCATTACTTAAGGATGAAATGTATCAAATATAGGAAGTAGTATAAATTATTAGCATTAGGAAATTAAAACTCTAAATTTTATGCGAAACAATAACAAAACAAGAACACATTGAGGTGTAGAGATCCAGCTGATAACACAAGTTAATTTTCCAAATATTACCAACTATCACTCACAAGTATCTCAAACTTAACCATTAGGTTCTTAAAATAGAAATCTCATCCATTCCGGTTCCAATACATCGATTTGCCAAAGCAAAGACACTTGGTTTAGCTGCAGCTTGGCTGTGACGTCGGCGACTCGAGCCTCTGCCAAGTGCAAACTAAACTCTCACCTCAGAGCTGAAATATCCCCTCGGATACTGACCGAGTCTTCCGTTAGTTACCTCACGAGTTTGTCTTCTTAGAGATTATCTCATGAGTTTTCTTTTGGTTT